TGAGTGGAAAAACTAGAATGGACAGGGCTGGGAATGAACTCATTTAAAGGAACCTAGGATTATCTCCAATAGGTGATAAAATGAGGGAAATTAGACTAAGATGWTTTGGTCACATGGATACGACGGGATCTGTCACAATTTTGTGGGGATAGAAGAGTTGGGGACACACAAAAAACAACACCCATTGAAGCAGTAAGAAATGATTCAAGGGTCATCATTTAAAAAATGGATTTCTCACTTAACAGAATTCATGTMGCTATCTCCATATAGTTGGGACAAGGCTTTAAATATTAACTGACTATTTATATCATAAGATTTTAAAATCTGATAGAAATGACAAATATCTAGACCAAAATGTCGTCTGCATGTCTTCCCTGTCAATATGCAGCTATTGTCTATGATGGGTACTTTTCTTCCTTAATCTTACTTTTACTCAACTGGTCATTTTCTATTATATTAGCCAACCCGATATGGTTAGAGCAAAGCTCGGATGATAATGACAACGAGTTCGATGATGACGGTGATGATTAGTTGTTTTAGTATTAACCATGTCTAATTTCACAATATCATTCTTCATAATGCTTCCATCAAGTTGAAAAGAATTCACCATTCTGATATTTGCTATGAAAATTTTTATTTTGTAATGCATTAAAGCTTACCACAAAATTGAAATTGAAAAATCTAGGTTGGAATATATATGTTTCAATGGTTCAATGGTCAACAGTGTCATGGGTTTTGGATGTTTCTTCCTTTCTTTTCTATTCATTCCATGTTGTTATAATCTCTCTCTCTCTCTCTCTCTCTGTCAGAGTTATCACACTTGTGCTTTGTATCATTCTGTTTCTGTTTAACTATAAGTTTGCCCCAATTAATCTTTCTTTCTTTGCTTTTTTAATCATTATTTGCATAATGACTAGAATTAAGAATTAATTAATTATATTTGATGTTAGTTTTCATTTTCTACATTGAATTGTTGTTTAACCGTGTAATAAAAAATTTGGCATTTTGCCAATTATACTCTACTTGGCAATTTATAATCTAACTTCTCATTGCCTTATTGAATCCATGAACTAATATGCTTTAACATGTGAGACCTTAGGAATGAAGAACAAGTTTTTTTTTTGTTAAATTAGGAATGAAGAACTAATATGCTTTGAAAGCTATCCTTGCTTTGAAAACTATCCTTTACTCCAGAATTTTTCTTCTCATATCATAAGTTGTCTTAAGGAATAAAAATTTAGAGAATTTTAATATTGAGCTTTCCTTAACAACTATGCTATCTCGCAGATTGAAGTGATAATGAAATTTGAGGAAATGTGCTTGGAGTCTGCAAAAGAGTTCTCTCCGTTATTTGCACAGGTTTGTATATTCGTATTGGTAACCTTTCTAACTGATCCTACTAATGAGTCCTTAATGTTCATTGTCATTTGACTACATGGAGTTTTCTCTTTTCTTCTCTTCATTCCAATAAGAAAATCTTTTGAATTTTCTTCATCTTCTTGGTTTCTGATGTTTGAATTTGAGTATGGATATGCATAAACTAGGACCTTTGTTCAGTGATCCTTCTTCCAYGACAAGTATCTGTATTTGTGTCCAACTAGCCTTCTCTTTATTCTTCTGATGACAAGGCCCTATGTTCTCATGAGTCTTTGTTCGATCCAATTGGAAGCACTAGAACTGTAGTAGAACTGTAGAAGAAGGTTTCTTCTGATGACAAGGCCCTATCTTTTTATTTATACTTAATGAAGAAAAATAACARAATTACACAGATACCCTTGATGTCTTAAATTTCAATATTACTTGTTCTCCTATGTGAAGCGTAGATATCTATCATGCCTAACTTGCACAAGTTGTTGTCTAGTTTTCTTTTTGCAACCCCTTTAGTTAGAAATTAGCATGTTTGTCTCCTGTCTTGGCAACTATTTTTTTTCACATTTTAAGATAAAATGTTTTCCCTGATGAATTTTATGTCCTCAACAAGCTTTATCTTGTCATGTTGACTTGGATTATGAATTAATATTAATGGTAGTACTTGTCATGGTCATAATTCA